AGAAACACACAGTAGTTGGAGTGGTATCAGCACCTCCTTCCTCTTCTCAGACACCTTCTATCCCACCCCGACTTCGATGCCTGGAATTTGAGTTAAGGTATGGCCCTAGTAAGATGATCTTTTAAAAAAGATATCCTCAAAAGGCTAAACATACCAAACACAATCTACCCAGATGATTCTGATGAACGAGGCTGTTTGTGCCTCGGTTCAAACAGATGAAGACAGGCTCTCAAGAGAAGATTCGAAGAGACCACAGAAGCTCCGTTCTGAGAAGGGTGATGAGATCTCAAGCCATCTGGGCGGATCACCTGGGGTTGGGAGCTCGAGACCAACCTGAACACATGGAGAAACCCCGTCTCTACTAAAAATACAAAATTAGCTGGGCATGGTGGTAGGTGCCTGTAATCCTAGCTGCTCGGGAGGCTGAGGCGGGAGAATTGCTTGAGCCTGGGAGGTGGAGGTTGCAGTGAGCCGAGGTTGCACCATTGCACTCCAGCCTGGGCAACAAGAGTGAATCTCCATTTCAAAAAAATAAATAAATAAAAGAAATCTCAAGCCGTCCTGTTCCATCTTATCCACTTGTAAACCATCCCTTTTCCCAGTATGTTTTCACTGTATAGCAAGCTTGTCCAACCTGGGGCCTGTAAGCCACATGTGGCCTAGAATGCCTTTGAATGTGGCCCAACACAAATTTGTAAACTTTCTTAAAATAGTATAAGTTTTTTTTTGGAATTTTTTTAAGCTCATCAGCTATCATTAGTGTATTTTAAGTGTGGCCAAGACAATTCTTCTTCTTCTTCCACTGTGGCCCAGAGAAACCAAAAGATTGGACACCCCTGATCTCCAGGCTATCTGCCTGTTGACACCATTAGCTCCTGCATCCAACCATGGCCATGGTAAGGACTCCATGATCCGGTGTCACTGATATGGTTTGCATCTGTGTCCTCACTCAAATCTCATGTTGAACTGTAATTGCCAATGCTGGAGGTGGGGTTTGGTGGGAGGTGATTGGAGCATGAGGGCAGTTTCACATGGTTTAGCACCATCCCCCCTTGGTGCTGTCATCACAATAGTGAGTTCTGGTGATATTTGGTTGTTTAAAAGTGTGTGGCACCTCCCCCCTTTCCCAAAGGCACTCTCCCTTTGCCTCCTGCCATGATTGAAAGCTCCCTGAGGCCTTCCCAGAAGCAGAAGCCGCTATGCTTCCTGTACACCCTGCAGAACCATGAGACAATTAAACCTCATTTCTTTCTTTTTTTTTTTTGAGACTGAGTTTCGATCTTGTTGCCCAGGCTGGAGTGCAGTGGTGCGATCTTGGCTCACTGCAACCTCTGCCTCCGGGGTTCAAGCAATTACCCTGCCTCAGCCTCTGGAGTAGCTGGGGACTACAGGTGTGCCGCCATGCCCAGCTAGTGTTTTGCATTTTAGTGGAGACAGGGTTTCACCATGTTGACTGGGATGGTCTCGAACTCCTGACCTCGTGATCCACCAGCCTCAGCCTCCCAAAGTGCTGGGATTATAGGCATGAGCCACCATGACCAGCCTAAGCCTCATTTCTTTATAAATTACCCATGGTTGAGTATTTATAACAAAGCAAGAACAAACTAATACAATCACTCAAAGCAGATGACTCGCCCTCTGACATAATGATCAGAAGATGAATAGTCGTCTAATGCTGCATCATCACAATGCCTACGTCATTCACCTCAGTTCATTCAATCCCATAGGCATTTTGTCATCTCTTATCACCACAAGAAGAAGGGTGAGTATGGTACAGTACAATGAGATATTCTGAGAGAGGGAGAAGGACTACATTCACATAACTTTTATGACAGTATATTGTTATAACTGTTTTTCTTTTAGACTCAGTCTCTTGCTCTTGTCCACCAGGCTGAAGTGTAATGGCACGATCTCGGCTCACTGCAACGTCTGCCTTCCAGGTTCAAGTGATTCTCCTGCTTCAGCTCCCAAGTAGCTGGTATTATAGGCACCTGCCACCATGCCAGGCTAATTTTTGTATTTTTAGTACAGACGGGCTTTCACCATGTTGGCCAGGCTGGTGTCAGACTCCTGACCTCAGGTGATCTGCCCGCCTTGGCCTTCCAAAGTGCTGGGATTATAGGTGTGAGCCACCACACCCAGCCAATTATTCTATTTTATTATTGTTATCATTGATCTCTTACTGTGCCTAATTTATAAATTAAACTTACCGTAAGTACATATGTATAGGGAAAAAAACACATGGTACAGAGGGTTCAATATGAATCTGTGGTTTCAGGAATCCAGTGGCGGGGGGGTGTTTGAACATATCCCTTGTGGATAAGGGGCACTACTGTACTATATAAACTTTATAGACTATGAATTTTGAGTCTCTGGGTCACCTCCTCTGTTGAGATTCTAGCAAAGCCCCTGATATAAAAGAGTTCATTAAAAAGTTGTATTCTATATAAGCAAAGGTAAATGAGTGTAGAATCATTATAACCACAGGTTTCTCCTTTTTTCCGCAAGTCTACTGTGTTATCAGCCCGTGAGTTCAGCCTTGGCTGTTGCAATTGGAGTGTAATCCATGGGGACAAACTCAGTGCAGAGGATGTGGTTCAGGATGCAAGGGCAAGGACACAAAGTGGAAAAGACAAGAATACTCTTAGCAAGGACAAGGAAGGAGACATCAACTCAAAAGAAATATACAGGGCAGGCCGGGCGCGGTGGCTCACACCTGTAATCCCAGCACTTTGGGAGGCTGAGGCGGGCAGATCATGAGGTCAGGAGATCAAGATCATCTCAGCCAACATGGTGAAACCCCATCTCCACTAAAATACAAAAAAAATTATCCCGGCACGGTGGCACGCACCTGTAGTCTCAGCTTCTCAGGAGGCTGAGGCAGGGGAATCGCTTGAACCTGGGAGGTGGAGGTTGCAGTGAGCTGAGATCACGCCACTGCACTTCAGCCTGGTGACAGCAAGACTCCATCCAAAAAAAAGAAAAGAAAAGAAAGGAAGAAAGAGAGCAAAGGAGACAACGGGAGAAATTTTGAGGTAGAAGGGAGTGGAAGTTAACACCGTTATCAGTCTCCTTGTCTACACATCATGAGGTCATCGGCTAAGGAAAAAGTCACGTTTGCGCTGGAATCTCAAGGGGAACCGAAAAGATTTAGAAAAGCCCAGCTCCGTCCTCTTCCTTCCTATTCCACCACCTTCTGACCTAATCCTGTAAAAGAAAATGTCAACCCATGTGTAGTCAGTGATTTTCATGTGTCTGGCCTGAGAAAACAGCCATTAACCAAACAAACATAATCCCCACTTTCTTGGAATGTTATAGGTCTAGTTGAAAATAAGGACCCTAAGTATCCATGTGGGTTGTGAGGAAGAAGCGTCCACGGGGGTTAGCCCTTCTGGTGTAGACATCGTATAGCAGACAGATGCTATGACAGACAGGGCTAGTTAAGGGAAGAGTGAGGGCTTCAAGCTGATGCTGGTTACTTCCCTCCAGACTAGGCAATTGTTTCTTCGTGGATTTCCCTGCCTCCTATCTCTTTCCAGTCCTATATGCCACCACCAAATTAACCATTGTTATCATGTTTATGCTCGAAAATCAATAGTCAAAGTATTCCCCCAGTGCCTACCACTTAGGCTCCAAGCATTTTAGGTTAAGATCAAAGGCCTCTACCAGCCAGGGCCTAACCTTCCTTCTATACTTGGCTTCCACAAACCTCCATTCCAGCCAGACTCACAGACTGTCCTTCATACATGCCATTCTGTATTACTTCTCCACTTCTGTCTTTGCCCATCATCTTGAGTGTTCTTCCTCCACTATCCACTCTTAATGTCTCATTCGTGCATGAAGACTCAACTCATGTCCATCAGAAAGTGTTCTCTGATCCCCAGCACTAGAAGCAAGCTCCCTCTCCATGGAAATTTGTTCATACTTCTCCTAGAATATTTTTTTTACAACATTCCTTGAACTGTGGTTATTTTTATACTCTTCACATCTTCCTATCATATTTTCAACCTAAAGACAGGATTTGTGTCGCATCCACTCTTAGACTCCATAATACTTTGTACTCCAATAAAAAATAGATTTAGCTAAGGAAATGCTCTGCTAATGTTTGCTGAAATTAGTGCTAAAAATATGTCATCTTGAGTGGATGCTTGGAACTTCCCTGTGATCCTGCACACATTGATTCTTATGGATACACATTTTTTTCTGCATTTCTGGAAGATAAATGTTCTAAATTACATATATGCTTTATCCATCCATCCATTCATTATTTAATATAAACATATTGAATGCCTACCATATGCAAGGTATGCACAGGATAGGGATGGTGCTGGCTCTGGCTTTATGCAGTGTACACATTCATTGATCAATGTTTATGTCATTTTGTTTCCTTTCTTTCCAGACAAAGGGAAGTGAAGACTCACTGCACCTCATTACTGTCAGCAGAGAGCAATGTGCAATTGGAATGATCTTTGTTTAAGTTGTGACCTATGGGCTCAGAATAAACCTTGTAATGTACAGAACCAAATTATGTGCATTGACAGAGAATACTGGCCTTTTGGAAATTCATCTCATATTTATTGCTTAGAGATTTTACTTTTAGAAGACATCAATTACATTTCCCCACTTTTTCTCTCTTATCTGCAATTATTTTTCTGGCAGTCATCCAATAAAGAGCTTCAAGTCACTTTTTTTTAGATTGAAATGAACTTTGATGAAAATTGAAAATCCATGCTTTCTTCCTAATGACGTTAATAGAGAAAAGCCTCCAATTTTGTAATTATAATCAATATATAAAGGGGAAGTGGCCACAAATATACTGCACATCTTAAGCCGACTGGGTTTGGTTACTTTAATTTTTAAACAATCAGGACATTTTAAAAGTTGCTGTTTATACTTTTAAAAAATGTCACACGCTATGAGTGCACCCAGTCTTGATGCCTCGCTAAAAGCGTTAGCTGTCTTTTAGCTCCTTCTCCTGCCAGAGCCTTTATCCTCATTTTGGGTCTGGGGGTACACATGCCGGTCTCTTGCTTCCTAAGGACCTCATTACCCATTTCTCTGCACCAGTGTTTGGGGATCCAACCTATCTGTGCCTCCGTTAGCCAGGAGCCTCCGGATCTTTCCAGATTTCTTTGCAATACTGCTTGATGCACTGAATCCATTTCTCTCCTAGCCTGGCGCTTAGGAGGCAGGCTGGCGCTCCCTGGCTCTGCCTTCCCCATCTCCCTGTCTTTTCTCCCACGGCCCATCTGCCCCTCCTTTCCTCCCCCCCTTCTCCTCTCTGCTCCCCTTTATTTCCACTCCCCACCCGCGTGGCTTTGCTCTCCCTCTCCCAGCTCAGCTCGTCTGTATTAGGAGCTCCGGAAGCTGCCGGCGACTCTCCCCGGGAGCAGCGTGACTGACACGGACTCCTACAGCCGGGAGGAGGGAGAAGGGAGGAGAAGGGGAGGGCCGCAGGAGGAGGGTGTAGTGGCCGACCACGGATTTGCGTTGCCGAGGACGGGACCCCGGGGCAGCGAAGCAGGTAATGCTGCAGCGGTCGCGGCCGGGTCAGGGGGCGGGGGTGCGGGCAGGGTGCAGGTGCGGGGGGCGACTGGCTGCCGGCGCTGGCAAGTTGCGTGCGATGGGTGGGGTGGGAAAGCGGCCCGACGCGGCGGCGTTGGCGGCGGCGCGCGGGGAATAAAGGCGGCGCGGGCGCAGGGTCCGGGACGCGGGGCGCGGGGCGCGGGCGGACTCCCATCTGGGTCAGCGGAGCGGCGCGCCCTGCCCCCGCCTCCCCAGCCCCGGAGTCCCGGCCGCTCGGAAGGCGGGGTGCGGGCGGGAGCGGCTCGGGGCTGGCGGGCGGCCGCGGCCTCCCAACCCAAGCACCACCACCCGCCCGGCCGCTCTAACTTTGGGGGTCTCGCCGCCCCCTCCCACCACCCCCCCGGCTGTGAGTCTTCCAGGGGCGTGGGGGTAGGGATGGGAGTAGGGGTGGGGGTGGGGGTGGGGGTGGGGGTCATTGCGCGGGTTCTGACCTGAGCCACCTCGATCAGAAAGTGCTGGAAAGAAACAGACCTGGCTTCCCCGCTGCGGAACCTGACTTGAGGCGATGAGTCACTTCTGAAAAATGCAGAAGCAACTGAGGCTTGGGGGAACGGCTCGGAAAAACGGCACCACCGCGGGCTCTCTGACTGCTTTGGGTAGATGGGTTGTTCGTGGAAGTGGCCGCCCTAGCCTCACTTTTAGGGCGGAAAATCACCCTGCAGATGGCCTTTTCTTTATTCTCATCAGAGTGTTCGCTCCAAGTCGCAGCGATATTTGAATGCATGCATTCTTAAGAACGAGTATGTATGGGTGACTGCATTTAGGAAAATTGGACTAGGACTAGCTCCAAACAGCCAGAGTGGAGATGAACACTTGGTAAAAAGATCTAGGACCTTTGGTTTTATAGTCATGGGCATGCAGAAGCCTCTGGGACTCGAGGCACTAGTTTACTGAGTACTCCTATTTCTTTACTGCTTCTGTAGATTTCATTTAAGGAATACTCCTTAGAATTCTTGGTAAACTATCTAAGCCCACTTAGTGTAAAATTACAACGGTAGAGTGAACTTTAGAGAGGTGGATCTATAGTTACTAGAGTCTAATTAGACTGCAAGCCTCTTGAGAGCAAGGATGGGTTGTTTGATAGTTCCTGCGGCACCAAACGGTATTTGGCTCATAGCATGTAATGGACAGACAATAAAAGTTTGTAAAATAGTTAATTCAGTACCTTAAGTGTAGCTGGAGCTTGACTTTTTGAATATACTGTATGTTTTGCAAGGAAAGGCGGCTTCTCCATGAATCCTGAAATTTAAAAAAATTCTTAATTTTACAATCAAAGTGTCATATAAATATTTCGCAAGGATAAAGAGAAAAAGAAGTTGACTATGAGAAATCAGGAAGGTGATTATCAAGGTGGTTTTTGCCAGTAGGAAGTAGGTTTTTGTTTCCCATAGTTAATGTGAGAAGTAATTTAATTTGTTGATAAACTGTAGGATTTGGTAAACTTTTGAGTTAAGAGCTCGATAGTAAACATGTAGGTTTTGCAGGCAACTACTCAATTCCACAGTTATAGTTTGGAAGCAGCTAAAGACAGTACCTAAAGGAATGGTATGGCTGTGTTTCACTTTATTTACAGACATTGAACCTTGAAGGTCATATACTTTTCACCAGTAACAAAATATTTTTCTCATTTTTTCCAGTCATTAAAAACTGTAAAAACCATTCTTGGCCGGGTGCGGTGGCTCACGCCTGTGATCCCAGCACTTTGGGAGGCCGAGGCGGGTGGATCACGAGGTCAAGAGATCGAGACCATCCTGGTCAACATGGTGAAACCTCGTCTCTACTAAAAATATAAAAAAAAATTTAGCTGGGTATGGTGGCGCGTGCCTGTAATCCCAGCTACTCAGGAGGCTGAGGCAGGAGAATTGCCTGAACCCAGGAGGCGGAGGTTGCGGTGAGCCGAGATCGCGCCATTGCGCTCCAGCCTGGGTAACAAGAGCGAAACTCCGTCTCAAAAAAAAAAAAAAAAAAAACATTCTTAGCTTGAGGGAGGGGCAGAAAACACAAAAGTTAAGAGAGAGGGGAATGGATTTGTCCTGCTGGTAATAGTTTGTTACTCCCATTGACTCACTCTGTGCTAGAATTTGGCAAGGAACATTTTGAAAGAATAAACGGGCCACATTCTATTGAGTGCCTGTTATACCCTGGTAATTAAGTTAAATACCCTCAAGAAAAGCATTAACTTATTTTGAGCATTATGGTGTTTTCTTTTGTTTTTAATATTTCCTAACATCTTTATGCATGAGGTTTTGTTTTTATTAATCATGTAGCATTTTATATGTAACAATAATATGCTAAGTCTAGGTAAGTTATGAACATTATATTCAGCTGAACAACTGTGAATTCATCACTAGGTTTAGAAACCAGGGCTTAATAACTAGATAGTTGTGAAAACATAGCCCATATAATAGGAGAAAATATTTGGGAATCATATATCTGATAAGGGACTTGTACCCACAACATATAAAGAGTTCTTAATAATAAAAAGAAAACGAATCCAATTTTAAAATGGGCAAAGGATCTTAATAGCTATCTCCAAAGAAGATATACAAATGGCAAATAAGCCCATGAAAAGATACTCAACATTATTACTCATCAGGGAAATGCAAATCAAAACCATGATGGGATACCACTTCATACTCACTAGCATGGCTATAATTAAAAAGTCAGATAATAACAAGTGCTGGTGAGGATGTGAGGGAATTGGAACCTTCATACACTGCTGGTGAGAATATAAGACGGTGCCCTCACTTGGAACAGTTTAGCAGTTCTTCAAATTAAACATAGAGTTACCATATGGCCTAGAAATTCCATTGTAAATATATGTCCAAGAGAAATTAAAACATATGCTTACAAAAAAACCTGTGCACAGATGTTTATAACAACACCATGCATAATAGCCAAGAGGTGGAAACAACCAAACGACCATCAGTTGATGAGTGGATAAATAAAAGGTGATATATCCATACAGTGAGATATTATTTGACCATTAAAAGGAATGAAGTACTGATACATGCTACAACATGGATGAATCGTGAAAACATTATGCTAAGTGAAAGAAGCCATTCAGAATATCACATATTGTATGATCTATTCTTATGAAAATGTCCAGACCAAGGAAATGTATAGAGCTAGAAAGTAGATTTTTTGTTGCTTAGGGTTGAAGGGGCTGGAGGTGGGTTGGGTAGGGAAGTGGTAGATAAAGGTCACAGGGTTTCTGAACTGAAACATGAAAATATTCTCTGATTGACTGTGGTGATGGTTGTACATATCTGTGATAGGCTAAAAACCATTGAACTGTACACTACAAGTGGGTGAATTGTGTGGTATGTGAATTACATCTCAAAAAAATTGTTACAGAAAATAAACAGAAGATGGCGGGGGGGGGGGGGGGGGGGGATGTACTAGATTGTTAGCTCTCTAGCTGCATGTCTGTGTTTTTCCTCTGTGCCTGCTCTCATGTCCCTCCCAACCCTGGATTTTGTGTTCATCCTTTTCCGGCTTATTGTAAACCAGTTTTATCACATATGTATGTATTCCTAAACAATAGTGTTTAGGTTTGTTTTTTGATGTATAAGAAAGGTACGTATAATCTCGAAACAGAAAAAAAGGTATGCATTCTTTTTTTCTGTTTTCGAGATGGAGTCGCTCCCTGTCACCCAGGCTGGAGTGCAGTGACACAATCTCAGCTCACTGCAACGTCCGCCTCACAGGTTCAAATGATTCTCCTGCCTCAGCCTCCCAAGTAGCTGGGAATACAGGTGCCTGCCACCATGCCCAGCTAATTTTTGTATTTTTGGTAGAGAAGGGGTTTCACTATGTTGGCCAGGCTGATCTCAAATTCCTGACTTGAGGCAATCTGCCCACCTCAGCCTCCCAAAGTGCTGGGATTACAGGTGTGAGCCACCATGCCCTGCCTAATCTTGAATTCTTAAAATTCAACATTCGGTTATTAAGAATCACCCACATTGTTGCATGTAGGTATGTAATTTTTTTTGGCAAGTATTCCATGATTTATTTTACCATTCTCTTGTTGACGGGCATTTGGGTTGGTTCCCATGTTTTGCTATTACAAAGAATGCTGCTTTGAAGGCCTTTTTCCATGTATCTTGGCACACATGTGCAAGAGTTCTTCAGTGTGAATGTGCCATATATTTTAATGGCAAGAAAAAAAAAATCCACCCTGATCCTCCTTTGACTCACACATTGATGGCATATAACCACTTACTCATTTCTTCAAGTCCAGATACAATGACTAGATGACATTCTGACTTCTCATCCTATTTACATTCTAGTTGTAAATGTTTTTTTTTTTCTAATTTGTTTCCAGTTTCCCCATGTTTTAAGAAGTGTGGAAAAATCTAAAACTTCACAACTGACTGTCACAGCAGGACCTTTTAACCCAGTCTTTCATGGGCATCTTCATCTCCTTATGTCACCTGGATTTAGGATTGGAGGGAGGACAACTTTATTATTACGCCAAAGGAACAGTATCAAGGCACATGAATGATTACTGAACCTCACTAAAATTTGCCTTGTATTGCATATCCTAATAGGTGGTCTAGTATTTCTGATATGATTTAGTGAGGTAATTCTGATAACAGTGAGCCGTGGGCAGTTTCTTGATCTGTCGTTGACTTTGGCTGTGAGCATTTGCCATTCATTCAGACATTTCTCCTTGAACTTGGAAGAGGGAAAGCACCTAAAGTCAGAACAAACCATTATAAGGAATTTTAAAATTATTTTTACTGTTTTAAGATACACATAAAATTTGCTATTTTAAACACTTTTTTTTGAGATGGAGTTTTGCTCTTGTTTCCCAGGTTGGAGTGCAATGGCATGATCTTGGCTCACCATAACCTCTGCCTCCCAAGTTCAGGTGATTCTCCTGCCTCAGCCTCCCAAGTAGCTGGGATTACAGACATGCACCACCATGTCCAGCTAATTTTGTATTTTTAATAGAGATGGGGTTTCTCCATGTTGGTCAGGCTGGTCTCGAACTCCCGACCTCAGATGATCTGCCTGCCTTGGCCTCCCAATGTGCTGGAATTACAGGCATGAGCCACTGCATCTGGCCTATTTTAAACATTTTTAAGCATACTATTCAGTGGCATTCAGCTCATTCCCACTGTTGTGCAACCATTACTATTGCCCATCTCCAGAACTTTTTCATAATGTGAAACCGAAACTTTGTACTCACTAAACATAACTGGATTCTCCTCCTGCACAGTCCATGGTAACCACCATTCTACCTTCTGTCTGAATTTTCCTGTTCTAAGACCTTATACAACAGTTGTCCTTTTGCTACGTGAGCTTTTTTGTTTGTTTTTGAGATGGAGTCTTGCTCTGTCACACAGGCTAGAGTGCAGTGGCACCACCTAGGCTTGCTGCAACCTCCGTCTCCCAGGTTCAATTAACCCTCCTGCCTCAGCCTCCTGAGTAGCTGGGATTATTGGCACGTACCACCCCACCCGGCTAATTTTTGTATATTTAGTAGAGATGGGGTTTCACCATGTTGGCCAGGCTGGTCTCGAACTCCTGACCTCAGGTAATGCACCTGCCTGGGTCTCCTAAAGTGCTGGGATTATAGGGATGAGCCACTGCACCTGCCTACCTGATCTTTTATTTCCGGGGGAATTCCATCTTGTTTTGTTTCTGTCTTTAGTAGACGCTTTTCCCACTTTAGGAAAATACGGCTTCTTTCACTGAGAAATTATGTGAAAGGATTGTTTCCCTTTCAGTAAATAGCCCTATACAGAAAGGCACATAGGATGTTGTCTAAAACCAGAAGAAGAAATTCTGACTACTTTGAATGGGGTCTTCTCATATGAATACTTAGGCAACTGCAGAAGGTGCATTAGCCCCTAATTCTTAAAATTT